TAGCTTCATTGCTGCTGATGTATCGTCCCATTTGATATCGTTTTATCTCGTCCACGGGTGCGGACGCTTCACCAACTCCAAAAACTGCCATATCGCTCCCTTTTGTCACATACTTGCAAATATACTTGATTGATTTCACTGAATTACAATACTCGACGTTGATATGCGCTTTAAAACATTTCGAGAGGATCGGAGAGTATGGCACGATCCATCGATTATCGATCTCGACATCACGGTTACGTATTTTAAGCGTAATCATCCTCCCTCCATTTTCGGGAGACCTTCGCCGATAAGACGGATAACCATCATTCCCAGTGACTGTCTCCGGATGTAGACTCCTTGGGTATCTCTTAGTACACACTCCGTCTTTCATGCATGGGGATTTACTGTTGATCGCACCGCAAGGACCATGGATCATGTTCCTAGAAGATCACGGTCCGGAATTTCCGCTGATATTACTCGATCTATCATATCTGGAGTGATTTTGTGAATCAACCAGATCAGGATATGCGCGTGAGGCAATCCTCTCTTCTGCCACTCAATCGAATACATCCAGCATCTCGTCTCCCCAAACACGAAATGCTTGACGATGAAATCCATTAAGGATTTCAATTTCTGCTTGAAAACACGCGCGATTATATCATGTCGATCCGCAGCCGTTTGTCCCTGCAGCAAATTTGCCTTGATTTCTTCCCAAGCAGGATTGCATGTGATCGTGATGAACAAATCAGGGCGACCATACACACGAACGTATGTCATCGCATCCTGCGCGTATTCATGCATATGGCGAGGACTTCCCGTGAAAGTCGCCGGAAGAATGACTGGGCATCCGAGTTGATTGGGGTTCACACTCCCGTCAGAAACTACCGCATCACGAAGATGGACGTACTCTTCAGATCGTAACTTAGTCTGATTCAACCGAATGAATGGTAGGCGTTCGCTTTCAATCTTGGCATACATATCAACAACATATTGATGAAATAATTGCCTACACTTCAATATATGATTGTCCTCGTTCTGACGAATCATCAATCGATATGAATAGTAATTCATAGCACTGACCTTCTTGTCAGACTCATCACCCGTCACCGCGTTTCTCATTTTGATGTTAAAGTGATATCCATCATCCCCTTGACCAAAATATGATCGGGTACTGTAAAGCGTCGTAGGAACGATGTGTTTCAGAGACTCTTTGGAGGTCACCATTCCTGCGATGAAGAATTATGTCACGGGACTTAAATTCCTCTCCAGCTATCACGATTGCTACTTCATTGATTGTGGGAGCATTGTATCGCTTTTCGTGTTCCCCCGCCGGCGTCTTGTCCGCTCTTATGACAACCACATAATCATCAGCTGGCATGCGTTCCAGAGCGATCGTGAACAGCTTCACCATCCTGTTGTACTGATGGAAGAGCTTTTGTAAAGAACCAACGATTTCCCTATCTGTACCAGAATGGATACTGCATCGTCGATCGACCTGTTCCTCGGCGTTTCCCATAAAATAAATTTGGAGAAACTCATGATCGGCATCCAGCAATGGCAAAAGAGACCCATGACGATGATACACCTGACCTTGGATTTTGAAGCTCGGCATGTAGGACCCACGTATGATTTCAGTCGCACCAAATGATGTCATTTGAAAACATGAATTGTACATGCGAATATTGGCTAAAAAATGCTGCGATTTCTTCGTTTGTCCGCTCATCAGAGTTGACAACGGCTCAGGTGGTGGGTGTAAATCGAGTAGTTTGACCTTGCCCCCGGCACAGCACATTCCTGGACTTTCGTTTGCGAATTTCAATGCACGACAAAACTTACATACGCTTGTCATCTCACCGATTTCAAGGCCAGCATATGTGATATAATCATGAAAAGGATCATACTCAAATGCTGCGCAATTCAATTCCTGCCGTGCCTGCTCTCTAGAACGACGACTCCGCAGCCTTTTCTGTAGCAATCTAGCCGACCTCTCATCCTCAGTTTCACCGGAGCGCACATGTGAAGAGCGCAGTCGGTTTTGTTCTAGTCTCACCATACTTTGTTCTGGCGATTCCAGAGACCGAGAAAGAGAGTGATGGATACGATCACTTTCCATCCTAGAGTTTCGCCGATCCTCAGTTTCATTCAACCGTGCTATCGAATGCCTCCGTCTATCCTGTTCTAATCGCATCTTTTTCTGATGATCCGATTCAGAAGCTATTGATAATTTGCGTTTCGTAGCTCGTCGACTCAAGCGTCCCAGTGAACTCCGTTTGGGAGGCATACTCTCGCCCCTCACGACCGACGACAACAAACTCGACTTCGTTATCGTCCCCTCAAAATGGGAATCGTTGCTATCATGATCAAAAATACTGAACATCGTTATCGTCAGAGGTGTCAGGGCAATATTATCAGAAAAGAGGAAATAATGACAATCGCTCCATCCTAATGAAACCTGATGTGCTAAAGACCTTCCCCAATGCGACACGCCCTTAATCCCAGCGAATCAGACCTATCGTACGCGTCGTATGGGAGTGTATGCGACCATGACAGACATACACACATTTGTTTTTATATGTTTAGATAAGACGACGGACCCACAACCCATAGAATACCAGGACTGCTATATGCCGACGACCTCCTATTGATGGCTCACTCATACGAAGAAATGAGTAGGGTGCTAGAGATTGTAACGGAGCTGGGGAACGAAAAGAGTCTACAGTTTAATCCGGCGAAGAGCGCTATGGTGATATTCAACACCAGTCGGCTTGGAGAACCAAGAGAAATGATCATACAAGGAAAACATATAGAGTTCCAGGAGGACTACAAATACTTAGGGATCACCATATGCAACGCCCAGAATTACCTCCTGCTACAGGAACAAATATGGAAGAAGGAGGCACACAATGTCTTACAAAGACTCCATGCTCAGGTATTGTGGACATTCAACTGATTCGAGATCACACGAAGCCAATAGATGGCCACGGGGGTACCTAGGCTGACATATGCGAACGCTGTGCTAGCATCGAGAGCATCTAAGCAAATCGCAGCCCTGTTCCATAGAGCTCAGGTAGCCGCGGGGAAATGGGCGATGGGAATAACTGGACACAAAGTAGCGTCAGACTTCGTGCTTGGCGAACTAGGGCGGTCCACATTCGAGGCCCGAGAAGCACAAAGTAAAATCCGATATTTTGCAAGGATCAGTGCAATGGACTCTGCGACAATATACTCGGATGCCATAAAGAGACTCAATTTCCTGAAAACAAGATTCGGCTGCTCGGACATCCCCCTTGAATATCGGGAAGATCAGAGCGCGAAGATTACGCTTTTCAATGATACGGTGAAGAAACGTATCAAAGAGAGGCTGAGAGACTTGGTCAGAATCGATGAGATCCAAATCTAGCTTGGAGTTCTAGAGAAAATGGAAGGAGAGAGGCATGACTGCACGCGGCTTGTATACAAACGGCCGGGGCAGCGCACTGTTGGCAATGGCCCGTGCGGGAATGCTACCTACGCGAGCCCACCGCACGAAATACGAATCCATTGACCCGCATTGTACAAGATGCGGCGGTCAAATGGAAACCATACCACACACAATACTGAAATGTGGCTCGCATCATCACGAGACGGAAGCGCTCGCCAGGAGACTTGGCTTCACTGGAGTGGGTGATGAGGGGGAATGGGAGGATACGGAGAAAATGCTCGAGAAGTGGGAGGATGAGACCCGAAGGTTCCGCTGAGGAAACTCGCCCCTGAACCAGGGTCGCTCATGTAGACAATGAAAACGTGTAGACAACAGCGAGGATCAATTATAACCATATAACCATAACCATAAGAGTGATGGGGGGTCCAGGTCGGGGCAGCAATGCCATATATTTAACAAGTTCGGTAAAACGAGCGACTTGTAGAGCCGTATATAGAGCTCAGGCGACTTGATGATAAAACATCTGAATAAACAATTGACTAGTTATTTGGCTGATCCGACGATGTTCGGGATATGCTCGCTAAAGTCGAGATCCGCAGAAACTGTGACTCCTAAGTCTCTAAGCGATCGGGCGACAAGGAGCGGGACGTCCGCGATTTCGTATTCTGTATCCCGGATATCGGTAGTGGACTTGGAGAGAACAACGCATTTTGGCGTGCAGAGGCACATATGGTTGTCAGCGCGCCAACTGAGAACCCCGTCTATACCCGCCCGGAGGGATAGACGCCCCATGTCGGTGCCGGCCGGGCCGAAGAGCTCAATATCATCAGCATACAAAAGGAAGCTGATATTGGAAGGGATGTATTTGCCGATGTCGAGCACGAATATCACATAGAGGAGGGGGGAGAGAGTACCGTCCTGGGGTACACCAGAAGATGCTCGACATGGCCTAGAGACAATATCATAAACCTTCACACGAAAAGTTCGCTCACGGAGATAGCTGCGACACCAAGCGATCGTGTTGGGGTGCAGCCCGATTTCTGACATCTTGTGAATGAGTAGCATGTGGTCGACCTTATCAAAGGCGGACTTTGAGTCGAAGTATATTGCATTGTAGGGGACTCCTTCATTGATGAAACTCGCGTAGTCCTGGGTCGCGCACAGAAGTCGAGTTTACGTCGATTCATGGGGCACGAACCCGTGTTGTTGCTTGTCCAGCGATTCGTTCAGCTTCAAATACCTGTGAATGTGGCTTGACAGGATTTTCTCGAAGACGAGACATGGGAGACCGGTCGGTAGTTCGATGCGGAATCATGGGGGCCTTTCTCATGGAAGGGCGTCACGATACTCGTACGGAAGAGATCAGGCACAACACCATCCCGGTAACACCGCTCGAATATAAGAGTCAAGGGTTCGCATACGAACAGGCTGAAAGTCTTGAAAAAGACAGGCGGGAGAGAGTCTGGGGTGCGAGAACTCTTTGAGGATAAAGAGTACAGGAGAGTGTACACTGCCCCCTCGGAGAAGTCAACTTCTCGATCTTGGCGTCGAATGTGACCAGATGCACCGGAGAAAACAGTATGGGACACAGCTGAATTCTCCCTGTAGACCGATGCGAAGTGGGAGGCCAGATAGTTGGCCTTTGCTTGGGAGTCGGAGTGAACAGCGCTTTCGGAGCGAAGCGTGGGGATGGGCTCATGTCCCTTGAGTCGGGAATTAGAGAAAGAAGGCTCTCGAATCACGAAAGTCCAGTCTGTGTTCGTCCATGGTGCGTTGACGAATTACGGCTCTCTTCAGTTGCGTTGCCAGTGCGTTCACTGTGGTCTCGTCAAGAGCCGGAGAGGGGAGAGATAATTCAGTTTTGGCGATGAATCGTCGAATCCCAGCGTCGTGTGTCGAGCCTGGGCGAGCAGGCGTGAACTTCGTAATCAAGAATTGACAACAGGCAACGAATTCTGTGTACATTTCGTTGACGTTACGGCGATTCGAGGAAAACTCATGCCAGTTGACGGCATCCAGATGCTCTGCTATTGCGCTCCGATACATGTTGCGGAAATCTAATTTGGTGAGTGGGGGGGGGAGTGAACACCTGGGGAGATCAAAGCATCGAATCTGATTCCATAATGGTCGGACTGGATGGGGCTAGACGATCGGGCGATGTCACGTATTAATTCCGCATTCGATGTGAGAAGAAGGTCCAGAATTTCGCCCGACGTGTGTGTCGGAGAATCGATCAGTTGAACGGGGCTGTTCGACGCACAGCATTCCGTGAAGGCACCCTCTTTCGTACTGGGCGGCGGGCCAGCTCACGAGGACCCGTAAATTTGAGGTAGATTGAAGTCACCCGCGAGCAAGACAGGAAAATCAACCGAACAGAGTTCAGATATGACCTCCGAAATCACCTGTCACGGACGGAGGTACCCGTCGCGTCTCCAGTTGCAGAAAACACACATCTCGCCCACTCAGTAACCAAGCAATCAGCACACAACATTCACGGAGAGGTCGAGTCGGGAGCGGGTAACAGGGTTTCTCATAGAATGTTCGATATCGCGGATATTCCGCTAATGTTGTCCAGGACAAGCTGTCCTATTTATAAAGCATCGATCAACATCAATAAAATCGCTGCAGTGCGCGCGCGCGTAGGTACGTCCCTTGGCGCAGCGCCGGCCGGCTTCTCAAGAACCGAGCGTCAGCTGATTAATGTCAGCTGATTCTCTGCCAGCCGGTCGAGAGCAGAGAGGTGTTGAGAACACTGCGGCAGCCACAGTGGCGACAGTCGCGGAGAAGTTGAAAAGTTGACAGACGGTCAACAACAACATAAGTTATCAAGATAACGAAGCAGCCTCAGCGCTCCTCGAGAACTTCAGTGTCCGGGTTCAAATCCCGAGAGTGTTTATTCAAATCAGCGACGATCGGAGGTTCAATCTCTCCATCGTCGTCATCTCATCATCTCCAGGAGATTTCCACCCAGTTGGATATCTCCGGAAGACTGAAGAGTTTAGCGCAGCGCACCCCGCGGTGTAGTCTAAAAGCGCTCACAGACTGAATGCGCTCACGACTGAAAGCGCTCATGACTCGATGCGCTCATAACTAAATGCGCTGGGACTGAATGCGCCAATGACTGAATGCGCTCGGGACAGAATGCGCTCATGACTAAATGCGCTATAAGATTATATGCGCTCGGGACACTTGCGCTCAGAGACTATTTGCGCTCTAAAGAAATGCGCTCACGACTATATGCGCTCGTTCATAAAGAAGGCATTCATAGTTCCGGATGTGGTTCGGCTATAAACCTACGTAAACGCGCCCCCCCACCTAACTGACCTAGGTTTAGTCCGCCTCACAATGTCATGGCTGCGAATATGCTCGCTTACGCTCGCCTGTCATAGCTTCCGAATATGCTCGCTTCGCTCGCCCGGGGAACTAAC